ACTGTGTTTTCCTGGTAAGATTTCATCAAAGAACTGCTTTTGTCTGAAGCTGTGAGTGTGTGACTGTGGGATTCCATGATTCAATTCTGGTCTCCAGTCATAGTTCTACACCAAACCACACTGGCTCTCTATTCTAAGGCATACTATTCCTTAACTCAGAGGTCCAATCTGGTTGTTACTCCAAACTGCAAGAAAATCATTGAGTAAGTGGGAGTGACTCCATGCTGACTTAACAAATCTTCTCCCATTAATTTGGTGGTTCCCAACCTGTGATCCGTGGACTGCCAGTGGTCTGCAAGAACTAAAATCTGGTCCATGGCCCCACTGTTACTACACTGCTGCAACTAGAGTGATTGGTCTCTCAAAACCCTCTTATAGTGCCGTGGCTTATTAAATACTAGCCGTCCCCTGCCATGCATTGCTGTGACCCAGTCTGTGTATATGTGCTTTATGTGTGTATATATTTGTGTATATGTGTATTCACGTATATATAAGTGGTTTGTGCATGCGTTGTAATGTATTTTTTTATTTTTAGCTTTTTACGTCTCTTCTGCTGTGTTTTTCAGTGTTTTTATGAGTGATGGTCACTCGTTGGCCTGATCCGTGTATTATGTCCAAATTTGGTGTCAATCCATCCAGTGGTTTTTGAGTTATGTTAATCCCACAAACAAACATAACATTTTTATTTATATAATGGTTTTCTGTGGGTGAGCAAATGGCAATTACTGGATAGCATATGTTTTGTATCAGAAGCTAGAGCTGATGTGGTCTATCCAATGCAATTTTCTGAATCAGCACCCCAAATAACCAAACATAATCTAAAGTTGACCAAAGCGTGATTTGTAACTCTTTTTGTACTAATGTTGGAGAGTGGTCCCTGGTCAAAGTGGTCAAAAAAAGGTTGGGGACCATTGCATTAATTCAATGAGTCTTCACAAGTTGGGACAAACAAGATTTAGCACAATGAATGGTTTGCTAAGGCACTGCATAAATGACCACAGAACTGATTAAGAGTAATCATTTCTTTGCGTACGCAGAGATAAAAAAAACAAACATGTTATTGGAAGCCTATCTTTCCACTGACTGCTTTAATTCAGCTTATTATTCTACAGGTTGAAAGGAAGGGAAATGCACACACCCAGAGAGGCAAAATCAAGTATTTGAGTTTCAGAGCTGATCTTAGGCTGAGGATGAAAACAGTGAAAACTCAATAATTATCTGTACATACCTCTCATTAGACCAACTGCTTAAAACCAAGTATCTCATTACTAGCTTTCTGTTTTTTTCTAGGCAGCAATAATAAAAGAATGCACCTAGAGAAAAAAAATCCTTTTTACTTCCTGTGTACAGCGACTTTAAAGGAGCCGCATAAGGAAAGGACTCCACTGTTAAGCAAATATTGATATAGTTCAATGTGTTGTTGAAGGCTTTCATGGCCAGAATCACTGGGTTGCTGTGAGTTTTCCGGGCCGTATGGCCATGTTCCAGAAGCATTCCTTCCTGACGTTTTGCCCTCGTCTATGGCAGGCATCCTCACAACCTCTGAGGATACCTGCCATAGATGTGGGAGAAACAACAGAAGAGAATGCTTCTGAAACATGGCCATACAGCCCAGAAAACTCACAGAGACCCATTGATATAGTTCATCATATTTTAACACAGGAATTCATACATGGCTAGGAGATTCTCCTTTGTAGTTTATTTAACTTTGCTTGAAACAGAAATGCCCTGAGCAGTTAAAAAGGAATTTCTCTTTTATAAGGAAGACACATATTAATGTGGACTTTCCATTTTCGCTGCAAGAAATGTTGTTTCCTTTTCAACAGCCGCAGCAAAGCAAAAGCCCAGATTAGCGTAGAATACAGACTGGCAGAAAATATCATTTGGATAATCTTTGTAATAGGATTTTAAGTTTTGGGGATAATACATGCAGCCGGAAAAGTGGCATCTAGGACTTCAGTTTCTGAACATTTCCCAGTCATCAAGAGGCACTGGAACATGATGGATAAAATCCATTAAAGGATATCAAAACTTGGTTGCTGGAAGTTTTCCAGGCTGTATGGCCATGTTCCAGAAGGATTCTCTCCTGACGTTTCATGCACATCTATGGCAGTTATCCTCAGAGGTTGTTAGGTCTGTTGGAAACTAGGAAAGTGGGGTTTATATATCTGTGAAATGTCCAGGGTGGGGGAAAGAACTCTTGTCTGTTTGAGGCAAGGTGGATGTTGCAATTGACCATCTTGATTAACATTAAAATGTCTTTCAGCTTCAAAGCCTGGCTGCTTCCTGCCTGGGGGAATCCTTTGTTGGGAAGTGATCCCAGGCAGGAACCAGGCAGGCTTTGAAGCTGAAAGGCCATTCAATGCTAGTCAAGGTGACCAATTGCAACAGTCAAACCTGACTCCAACAGACAAGAGTTCTTTCTCGTACCCTGGACATTCCACAGATATGTAAATCGTACTTGCCTACTTTCCAACAGAACTCACAACCTCTGAGGATAACTGCCACAGATGCAGGTGAAACGTCAGGAGAGAATGCTCCTAGAACATGGCCATGCAGCTCGGAAAACTGACAGCAATCATTATTATTATTATTATTAGAAATACAAGATTAGTACACATCAAACAAGGTCCCTATGCTGACTGTTGTATTGGATCACACGTTAGACACTTCCCAATTATTATTGGGAAGTGTACGATGTGTGATCCAATACAACAATACAGCCCAGAAAACTCACAGCAACCCAGTGATTCTGGCCATGGAAGCCTTCAACAATACACTAGTAACACATCCCACTGTGAGGGTCCGTCCCCACAGCCCTATATCGCAGAATATCAAGGCAGAAAATCCCACATTATCTGAGTGTGGACTCAGTTAACCCAGTTCAAAGCAGATATCATGGGATTTTCTGCCTTGATATTCTGGGCTGTATGGATGGGCCCTAAGAAGCCAGACCTAGAAACTGCAAGGCCATTAAATGCTAATCAAGGTGGCCAATTGAAACATTCACACCTACCTCCAACAGACAAGAGTTCTTTCTCCCACCCTGGACATTCCACAGATATATAAACCCCATTTTCCTAGTTTCCAACAGACCTCACAACCTCTGAGGATGCCTGCCATAGATGTGGGCAAAAGGTCAGGAGAGAATACTTCTGGAAGATGGCCATACAGCCTGGAATACTCACAACACCCCACATCCCACTCTGGACCCTTGCATCCAGCCCTATATCCCAGAATATCAAGGCAGAAAATCCCACATTATCTGCTTTAAAGTGGGTTATCTGAGTCCACAGATAATGTGGGATTTCCTACCTTGATATGCTGGGATATAGGACTGTGTGGAAAGGGAGTTTTAAGGGACACAATCAAATCATTAGGAAGAATGAGAGAGAAGAAAGAGCAGGCTGGTTTTGTCACACACACACCCATCCCAGTTGATCACAGCTTTGGTGTTTGGCAGGGCTTGCCCATGAGAATAGGCGCCTACATTTTTAAACCCGGCTACTTTGGCGCTTCCTTTTTGCAGCTGCCCAGAAGAAGCCCAGCGATCCACGCGGGTCTCCACAAAAGACCGCCAACGGTTCCCTCCCCCTTGGCTGTGAAAGGAAAGGGAGAAACTCCGAGGCATCCCCAGGAAGGGAGGGAGAGAAAGAGGGAGGGATTGAGGAAGGAAGGAAGCGAGAGAAAGGGAGAAAGAAGCACACCCTCCGGCCCGCCTTCTTCCTGTGCAAAGCCATGAGCCCGGCTGGAGGCGCAGCAGTCCACTTCCTTGGGCTGCAAAGACAGACCATCGCTGCCTCCTTCGGGGGGAACCCCCGGAAGTATTCTTCCCCAGACCCTTTCCCACGCACGCGGGACCATTTCGGAATGAAACCGGATCGAGTCGGGGGGGGGGGGGAGAGCGAGAGCGAGTTTTGAATGTCTTTGAGTTAAAGCGCACCTATACTAGGCATGGGCAAAGTTGGACCCTCCAGATGTTTTGGACTGCAACTCCCACCATTCCTAACAGCCTCAGGCCCCTTCCTTTTCCCCTTCAGCCACTTAAGCGGCATCCTCAGGCTGTGAAGTCTGTTGGAAACAATCAGAACCAGCTAACAACTCCCAACAAAAGATTCCTCCAAGCAGGAAGCAGCCGGGCTTTGAAGCTGCAAGGCTTCAGCGGCTGAGAGGGAAAGGGGGCCTGAGGCTGTTAGGAATGGTGGGAGTTGCAGTCCAAAACACCTGAAGAGCCCAAATTTGCCCATGCCTGTTCTGCAGCATTGAGTCAAGTAAAGTGGTCAAACTGCATTCATGCTGCACACTTAAAACTACAATCCAGTAAAATTGAGCCATGGCAATTCAAGTGGGGTCAAACCGGATTAATTCTGCAGTGCAGATGCTCCTCAAGAGGACTTCCACACAGCCCTATATCCCAGAATATCAAGGCAGAAAAAAACCCACAATAGCTGAGTATGGACTCAGATAAGCCAGTTCAATATTGTGGGATTTTCTGCCCTGATATTCTGGGATATAGGTCTGTGTGTAAGCGCCCAATACCTGATCTGAGCCGTGTTATCTGAGAGCCCTTCCACACAGCCCCATATCCCAGAATATCAAGGCAGAAAATCCCACAATATCTGAGTATGGAGTCAGATAAGCCAGTTCAATATTGTGGGATTTTCTGCCTTGATATTCTGGGATATAGGGCTGTATGTAAGGGCCCAATATCTGATTTGAACCGAGTTATCTGAGAGCCCTTCCACACAGCCCTATCTCCCAGAATATCAAGGCAGAAAATCCCACAATATCGTCTTTGAACTGCCTTGATATTCTGGGAGAGAGGGCTGTGTGGAAGGGAACTGGGGAGGGGATCGCTTCCAACCGCGCCCCACTATCTACTCATCCACCTCTTCCCACTCTCTGCCCACTCTGCCACTATCTATCTACCCTCCCTCCCTTCTTCCTTCGGTGGGGCTGAGCAAACCCTCCCCGCGAGGCAACAGGTCGGGGCAACTTACAGCCGGAGGATGTCTTCGGAGGACTCGCGCGTCCTAGTTCCCGGGAGTGGGTCCGCTCACGGCATGAGGAGCCTGGGGTCGTGGGTGCTTCCCCGCAGCGGTGGCGGGGCTAGAAGGCCCGCCTCTCCTTCCCTGGGCGCCCTCCAGACTAAGCCGGAGAAGAGAGAGAAAAAGAGAGGGATAAAGAGAGGAGCCACGCCGTCGTGGCTCCGGCGAGCGAGTGACTGACTGCCCGCCTGCCTGCCTTCCTCGCCGCGTTTGTATGAACTGCGGCTGCAAGAGGAGGAGGAGAAAGAGAGAGAGATGGGCGGCCTTGCCTCTGGCCTCGCCCCCCGCCCCGCCTCCTCTGAGCAAGGAAGGGCGCAAAAGGGGGGGGGGGGATCACTAGTCCTGAAACTCCTTTTGCAGCAGCCCCAAACCTCCAAGGCAAGCCTGTGGCCAGCCACCACCAACGGATTCAGGTTCTGCGGTCTTGAAGACTTGGCGAGACCTTTCAGAAGCTGGGCTCTGCTCCACAAAGGTCTCTTTCTCGCCTAGGGCCCTTCCACACAGCCCCGTCTCCCAGAATATCAAGGCAGAAAGTTCCACATCTGAGTGTGGACCCAGATAACCGAGTTCAAAGCAGATATTGTGGGATTTTCTGCCTTGATATTCTGGAATATAGGACTTTGTGGAAGGGCCCTCGGAGTCCTGCCACACAGCCATATAACCCAGAATATCAAGGCAGGAAATCCCACTATTCTGCCTTGGTCAGACCACACCTGGAATATTGTGTCCAATTCTGGGCACCACAATTGAAGAGAGATATTGACAGGCTGGAATGTGTCCAGAGGAGGGCGACTAAAATGATCAAGGGTCTGGAGAACAAGCCCTATGAGGAGCGGCTTAAAGAACTGGGCATGTTTAGCCTGAAGAAGAGAAGTCTGAGAGGAGACATAATAGCCATGTATAGATATGTGAGGGGAAGTCCTAGGGAGGAGGGAGCAAGCTTGTTTTCTGCTTCCCTGGAGACTAGGACGCAGAGCAATGGCTTCAAACTACAAGAAAGGAGATTCCATCTGAACATTAGGAAGAACTTCCCCACTGTGAGAGCTGTTCAGTAGTGGAACTCTCTGCCCCAAAGTGTGGTGGAGGCTCCTTCTTTGGAGGTTTTTAAACAGAGGCTGGATGGCCATCTGTCAGGGGTGCTTTGAATGCGATCTTCCTGCTTCTTGGCAAGGGGTTGGACTGGATGGCCCATGAGGTCTCTTCCAACTCTATGTTTCTATGATCTGCTTTGAATTGGAATATATGGCAGTGTGGACTCAGATAACCGAGTTCAAAGCAGATATTGTGGGATTTCCTGTTTTGATTTTCTTGGTTATATGGAGATGAAGGGGAAGCCTTTACCTTTATCAGTGTATCTTTGTGTCATTGTTTCAAGGCATTGAATGTTTTCCTTGTGTGTGTATATGCTGGAATCTGCCCTGAGTCCCCTTAAGGAGATAGGGCAGAATACAAATAAAAAGTTGTTGCCATTATTATTATTATTGTTATTATTATTATTATTATTATTATTATTATTATTATTTGAAACACAACAAGATGAGTCCACAGCAAACAAGACCACTCTGCTGGCTGTTGGATTGGATTGCACATTGGACACTTCCCAAGTGTCTAGGACTGTGTGATGTATCGGCGAATAATGCGTGCAGATCCCAGTAAGGTGGCCTTTTGCAGCTCACAGATGGTAATTTTGTCAGCGCCAATTGTGTTTAAGTGCAGGCCAAGGCCTTTAGGCACTGCACCCAGTGTGCCGATTACCACTGGGACCACCTTTACTGGTTTGTGCCAGAGTCTTTGCACATTATTATTATTGTGTTATTAAAGTGATTTTGTGTATGTATGTTTGTATCTGCATACACTTTAGAGAGTCTCAGTTTGTCCACTTCCCTAGTCCAGGTTGGTGGCCATCATATCTTATGGTAGTGAATCTCTCAGTTTGTGCTTTGTGTCAAGAAGTGCTTAATTGGTGTTAAGGTTGCCAGTTTGTGATCAGCCCCAGCCCTGAGGTTTCCAGTTCAAAATCTGGAACCTAGGAATGGGTCCTGGTGATGTCATTAAACTTTGTGCATATAATAACAACAGCTTATTGTACAAATGCATATACACAAATACTCACACACACAACACAACACATATTTTTCCTGATTGGAAAATAAGAGAGACATTTTAACTAAAAGGCCTGTTCCCAGATTAAGATGAAATGAAAGGAGACAGGATAAAGAACATTTAATCCAGTTTACTTGCTCCTAGCCAGAAGGTCGAAGCAGAAGAGAGTTGAATGTGAAAACCCTGGCACTTCAATCGAAGTCATGGAGGTGGAAGAGACCACAAGGGCCATCTAGTCCAATCCCCTGCCATGTAGTAATACACAATTAAAGCATCCCTGTCAGATTGCCATCCAGCCTCTGTTTAAAAACCTCCAGAGAAGGAGAGTCCACCAAGCTCCAAGGCATGGGATGAAAGGAGGGAACTAAAATACATAGATTCTCCCCCACCTTTAATTTTTGCAAGTTGCAGCACCAAATCAATATTTGCAAGGTATAGTGAGCTGTTGGTCCTGTCAACTGAATTGGAGATTTCCTCTTGCCTGGAGCAGAACCCGCCAAAAGTGACATTTGCAAATTGCCTGGATGACCCACAAAAACTGGAGACTCCGTGTCCTAATAACTGATAACCCTAATCTATGTTGAAACACCCATCTTTCAGGTTTTAGTGCAATAACAATGTCATCATAATAGAGATGCCATATGATGTGATTTGCCCAGACAGAACAGTTTTGAAATGTTAACTTCATAACATATTTTGCAACTGTTTCTACATCTCACAAGTCCATATAGTTTGGTTGATACTGTCCATCATTTCTGTGTCTGAATAATGACCGAATTAGCATACACACTAAAATTAGCATATACACTAACAAAAATGGCAGATTAATTACGTTGTTTTTATCATTGTTATTGTCGTTGTCATCTTTGTTGTTATTTTAGACATGTTTAAACTATTCTTTGTGTAAAAATTCTAGGACACTGTGCCACAGTAAAGATACAATCTTATTTTCACGCAGCATACAGTGTCTCTCATACAGACAACAAAACTTGCAACAAGATCTACACAGGACTTCTGTTTATGACTTAAGAGCTCCCAGGCTGAGAGGCTCTTCAGGGCAGCAGGTATGGAATCTGGCATTCTACAAACATTGTGGAACTACTACTCCCATTTTCCCTGAAATTTTTGCAATCTTGGATGGAGATGATAGTTGGATACCACAAATCTGAAGGACAACATTAGTTCCCCCCCCCCCAAAGAAAAAATTATGTCCTTTTCCTGTCCATATAGCACCACACCAAAAGAGAATGACATATATTTATATGCAGAAAAAGGCCAGCAAATTCAAGGACAAACTTTAGATACATGCACTCCTACAATTAGGTATTTTCAAAGCCATATATATTAGTCTGTGTTGGCAATAGCAACCTTCCAAGCCTCTATCAACTGTTTATAAATGTGTATAATTGTTAATCTATATTGTATGTACATTTTGGTTTGCCAGTTTGACTGTACCTCTTTAGTGTCAGACTCCATTTTGTTATACAGTATTCCTTTAGTCCTCAATGGAGGTGGCTGTAGTTTGTCATCTTTCAGACTTCAGTGAGTACAGTTGTACAGTGTGGACTATATCTATGTGCTTAAAGACATTGGGCTATGGACTAGTTCCGCCCCTGCTTATCTATCCGAATGCATCTCTCACTATGAACCTTCTAGGAAGTTGAGATCGTCTGGGGAGGCCCTGCTCTTGATCTCGCCTGCCTCACAGGTGCGTCTGGTGAAGATGAGAGACCGGCCCTTCTCCATGGTGGCCCCTCAGCTATGGAATTCCCTGCCTAGAGATATTATATCGCCCCTCCCTCCTGACCTTTTGGAAAAGAATGAAAACCTGGCTCTTTGAGCAAGCATTTGGAACTTCAGCATGACCAGATAAACTCAAATTGGAATATGAACAAAGAATGGCTAAGACAATATAAACGGATTAGGAATTAATGTATTGTCGAAGGCTTTCATGGCCGAAATCACTGGGTTGTTGTAGGTTTTTCCGGGCTATATGGCCATGTTCTAGAGGCATTTTCTCCTGATGTTTTGCCTGCATCTATGGCAAGCATCCTCAGAGGTAGTGAGGTCTAGGAATTGAATAGGAAGACTTGGTTTTATAATAATTTTATAATTTTTATTTTTTATTGCTTTTATGGTTTCTACATGTATTATGATATGATTTATTTGCTTTTAACCGATGAATGTATTTATATATAGCATCTAATTGTTGCCAATTTGTACACCGCCCTGAGTCACCTTCGGGCTGAAATGGCCAGGATAAAAGTGATGTACATAAATAAATAAATAGTATGCTGAATATATACAAGTTTGTTAGTAAACAAGATATGTTATTTTTCAAAGAAGACTTTGTTTTGGTCTTTTGAGTGCATATTTCAACTAAGAGGTTTCAAGGGAGTGTATATCTTTTGGGCAACTGCAAACTACAACTTCAAAGAAACAACCATCCTCTGCTAACCAATATATTTTTGTAGTGGCATGTCTTTATCCTTGGCAGTTTAAAGACAAGGTTCCTCAGTTTAACAGCTGAGTTACCTGTGTGCCATTACATTAATGTTTGTGAATATCACTTGTTCAAAGGGTTGACTTCTAACAAGATCATGCTTTTCTTGGCTAGTGGCTTTCAAATGTGGTCTCCATATGTTCATGGAGATTCACATCTGTCAAATGGATGTAACATCATTTTTACCTTTTCAATAAGGTTATGGTGCACTTATTTCCAATAGGTTATAGAATTTCCAATAGTCTGAATATAGTAGGCCAACTGTCACATGATTGTGTGAAGGAAGGCTATTCATTTTGTTGTCATTAATGAGGGAGCATCTTTTCTTGAAAGAATAGCTGTCTAATGGGTGCATCACTAGGAGGGAAAACCTCCCTTCATGATAGCAGTAAATAAAAACTATAGGAAGGCTCTGTCTTTGTAGTGAGCAAAATCAGCTTGCAATGCACAATTACTGCATAAAACACACTATAGCCTCAATATGTCAAAAAGCAGCAGAAGAAAAGCCCAGCTTTCTCTGCAGTGGTAAAACAGGCAAGGGATAAAAATAAGAAAGCACTATCCTATTGTGATGCATCATCATCTTCATCCAAGGGTGGA